GAAAGCAGACGGTGGAGCTTATGGCGTCAACGCACTTTCCTGACTCGGAGATTCTTCGGAATCACTCAAATGCGCTCATCGAACCGAAGGCATCCTGGCCCAGGAGGGATGACTGGTAACGATCCCGTCTGGTCTTCACGATGGGCAGGATTATATGGGCTGTTTTCTCTTTCAGGCCCTTGAAATCTCCAGATGATGATGGGATATATCCTGCATTTTTGCAGAGAGGTTTCCAACATATCGCTAGAGCACTGTTGGAAATTTTTCGTGCCAGCTATGCGTGGGGTTACATCCCTCAGGCATGGAGGGTGGCTAAAGTGACGTACATTCCGAAGGCGGGTAAGCGACCAAGCAACCACCCAAGGTCTTTCGGTCCAAGCAGCCTTACTTCTTTTCTATTGAAAGCAATGGAAAAAGTGATTGATAGATTTATACGGGACGATGCACTGGGAAGCAATCCCTTGCATGAGTCTCAGTACGCCTATCAGTCGGGAAGGTCTACTGTACTCGCTCTGCAGAGTATGGTGGCGGTCCTTGAAAACTAACTGGAAGTGCGGGAGGTGGCAGTTGGCTGCTTCCTTGATATAGAGGGAGCTTTTGACAACATCCCATATCATGTCATCTGTGAGTCGTTGCACAAACGAGGGATTGATGCGACGACGAGCAGATGGGTTAATCGGATGCTACAGGATAGGATTATTAAGTCCACCATAGCTGACGATACACTCTTCATCTCCGCTGCAAAAGGGTGTCCGTAGGGCGGGGTTCTTTCGCCCCTCCTGTGATCCATTGTAGAGGATGATCTAATCGCTGCTCTCAGGGGCTCCGGGGCACGTGTCAGGGGATACGGCGACGATGTGGCTTTCGTCGTACGGGGAAAATTTGAAAGCACTATTTCTGATCTTCTACAGCAAAATTTACGTGTTTTAGAGAGGTAGTGCGAAGGCGTTGGATTAAATATAAATCCAAGCAAGAGCACTTTGGTCGCCTTCACCAGACGCAGAAGCAGGGACAGATTAATGGGCCCAATTCTGTTTGGTGAACGTATTAGCTACTCTAGGGAGGTGAAGTATCTGGGGGTAACCCTGGATGATCCTCTCTCCTGGAATACCCATATAGATAGAGTTACCGAGAGGGCTACGGCGGCCTTGTGGACGTGTAGGAGCTTCATCGAGGGGACCTGGGAATCAGTCCCAGGGTAGCAGTGTGGCTATATACGGCCCTTGCTAGGCCCATCGTCACCTACGCGTCGATTATATGGTGCCGCAAGGCTCAGCAGGCGGGAGTGCGGGCCAAGCTGGAAAATCTACAGAGGATGGCCTGCCTGGGAGTGACCCGGGCGATGCGGATAGCTCCTACCGCTGCATTGGAGGTGATGATCGGGTTACCGCCACTGCACCTCCATATATTGAAGGAAGCTCGGCTAGTGACTTACCGACTTCTATCTGGCGAGGACGGGGTAGGGCTACCGGACTCACAGAGACTTCATTGAGAGCCATCCGATTCTAAGAATAACCGCCGCCTTTCTGCGGTCTGCCTTCTTCCGCCGTGGATGCCAGGCTTGCCTGCCTGCTCGCGGCGGAATACGACCGTCACTGGCGGGACACGAAAGGGTGCCGTCATGTAAAGGTGTTTCTTTCGGCGTACTCCAGCGGATTCACCGCAGAGTTGCTGGGGATGAACAGGAACCAGGTTCGCACTATTGCGAATTTCTTCACGGGGCACTGCCCGGGCTGCATAGGCTGGGGAAGTCGGGCTCCCCACTGTGCAGATTTTGTGGGGGTGGCGATGAGACCGCTGTGCACATTCTCTGCAACTGTCCGGCACTGGCTGTTCGGCGCCACAATCATCTTAGGCATGGGTCCCTATGTGTTCGAGAACTGTTGTCCAACTACCTTAGGAATAACTCCGGCTTTGTGGTTGGGACGGGGATATTATAGGTGGGAGCGTGGGGAGACTACAATAAGTCAAGAATGGCTGCGGTGGCTTGGGGGGTTACTCCTGCCCCACTCGGTTCCCTTGAAATCTACAATTTACAATATAGTTAGCACAAAATTAGTGCTTTTTTGCTATTTTCTTAAACCGGAATGGTTTTGTATTTTATTTTGACCTATAATTATAATTATTAATTACAAAAATTTAGTTAATTGCAGTAAATTTGAAATGCAAGTTTTTTTTTAATTTAATAAAGCAAAATAAATATAACGCTTACATTGTTTTGTTTTATTTTTTCAAAAACTAAGATTTTCGCAATAAGATTCGTAAACAAAATGTCAGGTGAATGGAAAATATGCGAAAGTGGCATTCTGTAGTACCACTTTTGCTACTTTCGCATACGCAAATTTGCGATATTCGATTTACATGTTGTCAAAATTTAAAATGCGAGAATCGTTTAGCGAAAGTAACACTACACTACATAGAAGGCCAGCTTATGACAGGTTGGGTTCGCCTATCTTTGTCTTTCAAAAATTTTTCACACCTGGATTAAAAAAAGAAAAAGATCGAATTAATTACGAGGCAAAAAGTAAAGAACAATCAATTGCCTGTGAGACAAGCTCCAAACCCACCCATCCCATACAATTTTTGCTGGAAATTGATCAAGGGATTATCCCTGAAATTATTTGCCATATTATGGATTTTTTAATTTTTATTTCAATCCCTTCTTTATAAATTTAAAATAACCTGGATTATTCGATCCAATAAGGGCTCCCACAAGGGGATTTGAAAATATTTAAGACGCAGTAAAAGTTTTTTCAACATCCAAGATCAAATACTTTTAAGGGTATCAAACCCGGGAACAAGTTGTACCTATAATGTTTTTCTTAAACTACAATCTGATTTAGTAATAAAAGGAAATCTACTATTAAAAAAGAATCTTCGTTCAACCATAATAAAGATTTCATGGATGACTCTTTTGAATACAAGTGGATATTGTTTTATATTCGGTTGTAAAATAAATTTGTTAGGAATAAAAAGCAACAAATGTCGTAAGAAATTTCACGTGAAGTGTGCTGTATCCAAGATTAAAATTAGATCGAACACATACATCTGCAGAGCTTGTAAACACAAACCATATCAAATTATTAACTGTAACAATTACGTTAGAAGTTATTGTTGTTTTCTTTTTGAAATATTCTGATATTTTTTTCAATAATTCCTGTGCGAAACCAGAGTAGAAATGCATACTTATGCATTACCGCACTTACACATGTTTAGTCATTAATATTTAATAAGGTTTTTCAAAAAAATCATTGTTATAGCAAATAACAAGTAAATAATTTGATAAACAAGGAAAATTTCTGTTTGATTTTTCATTTTTAGGCTGGTGATCATTGAAATTAAAATTTCTAAGTAGTTTCACTTTCACTTGCCTTTCCATCTATAAGTGCTTGCACTAAGCAATCGTCTGATATACTTATATAAAAAAAAACCCTCAAAAGCCAAAAAATGAAATAATCACACATAGAAGTAAATTAAAGAGAGTGGTTGTTTTAAATTTTCAAATTTTTTGTTTGAGTTTGAGCTCCTCCAATACAGCTACGAGTAGCATGAAATTAAATGAATTCATTGTCTGCTAAAAAACTTTTTCACTTTCCAAAAGTATTCAAAACTAAAAAAACTGCAAAACTCCGTTTTTAAAAAAATATCCTTTTGTATGAAGGTTGTTTACTCAAATAGCAACAAAAGAAATATATATAAACATTTGGCAGTTGATATAAAATATTGATTTTAAAACTCCGAAAAATGATGCTGCCATTGCTGATTCATAACCCCTACGAAAGGAATTTGTGATCACTCAAAAGTTTACGTCGCATCTAAGTTCGTAATTCAAAGGATTCTACGAATGTAGTTCATGATAGGGCTGAATAGGCTTCTTGATTGGGTTCTACTGAAATATCAAAATGTGCGCTGAATGATAAGGAAATCTATATCATGTATTGCTAATATCACTGATATATTATTACGTAGTTTTTTTTATTAATATTATTTATTATTCTTTCTACTAACAAAATTTTATAAATTACAATTTTGAAATAATTTAAAATTATTCTATTTATTTGTTTATGCTGATTTATTTTTTTAATAAAAAACATCTTACATATCTGCCATTTTTACATTTAAACAACGTTGATGTATAAATATGCATCACTGTATAACTTGCATACATGTTATATAACATGCAGGAACATATTTATATACAAACATCGTAGATACTTAATTGTTAATGCCATATTGTTAAACTAAATTACTTAATTTATCTTATTAATAACTATGCATATATACAATATTCAACTATTAATTAAAATTAATTATCTTGTTGTTAATTATGACAGTAGCCTAAATTAAAAGTATTCATTTATTTAACGAGCCTAAAAGTTCTATTTTATTAATTACAATTTTAATGAGTTCTAAAACACCTAAAAATTCAAATGAAAATTTGTAAAGAAAACCATGTACCTATTACAATGTTTATGCACTGACTTTAGTATGCGATGAGTTTAGAATAGTTTTCAATATTTACTCAATATTACTAGCTTCTTAACTCGAATATTAATTTGATTATTGTACCTCACTAACTTTCCTATTCAGGATAAATCTAAATTTAAACAGATTTTAATTGCTTAAATATAGAAAACGATAACTGTATTTTTTTTGTTGCCTCTCGTTTTTTTTAAAAGTAAACTTATGTTTTATATTGATAAATAAAAACATTTCATCTTACATTTTTCGAAACGAATTGAATTTCGATTTTTAAGTTCTTTGATTTATAACATAAAATTACATTAACAAACCACAATCTGCCTAATTTTTTGCTGAATTAAATAAAATAATAATAGCTAGATTTTTTTTAATTTTTAAAATTTTAACTTTTATTACATAATTGTAGTTTCCCATATATACATATGTATATATATACATATATGTATGTTTAGATAAAGTAAAAAATTAAATACCAACATATCTTACAAAAAATAATTGAATTGTGTTATCATACAAAACAATTTATTGGGTTGATTAAAATGAAAAAAAATGTTTGATTTTAGTCATTTAAAACGTTTAAATAAAAAAAAATTAATTTTCTATTTATATTTTTGAATTCGACAGCGAATTTGTTTGGTAATGAAATTCATGATTTACTTGTAGTTTTCTTTTAAACTAAAACAAATACTAACTAGTAAAATTTTTTTTTTGACAAAACTTAGAAATTAAAACTAGATACAGTTCGTTCTAATTACAACGACGGTTTTTAAAATATATTAATATTTGGTATTTTAAATAACCATTTACATATATCAGTACCTGAACGCGGGGATTTTATAAAACGATTTAAACGTATTTCTATTGACAAAAAATGCTTTTATCTAAGAGCCATGAGCTCTATATATATTAAGGTTATCAAATTTTGTAAGTTCAGCTGTTTTTGCCTTCTTGAAAAAATCTGCTTTTGTAAACCATACTGGATTTAAAATTTAACCTTAAAATAAAAAAAACGTATAGCAACTTTTGTAGGGAACCAATTTGTTTAGGTCTTGTTTACAAAAAAAAAAAATAATTAAATGATCATGTTTCATTACTGCATAACTTCAAATAGAATATACATATGTTTCTTTTGAAAAAGTATTGTAATCGGGAAAATATATAAGCAGTTTATGCATCCTTTCCCATTTAATTTGCAATCACTTAAGATATGACTTATACAATGTTAAACTTCTACAAGTTTCACGTTCTTGTTCCATAAAAAATAACATATCCCTCAAATTAACACGTTTAATTCTTGGTCTAAATACAGCTGAAGATATTCCACTTGCTCCAGCGCCATAGGAAGTTGATTGCTGAAATATGAATAAAAATCATTTATCATAAAAGCAAAAAAAAAAAACTATTTTAATACAGATCCTGACGACGCAACATCTCCGTCAAATTTGGTTTTTTTTCGAGGTGGCCCAATAGCCTGCAATGCAGTTTTATTTGATTCTTGATGACGAATCTCTTCCATTTCAGCTCTCTGCATCTCTTTTGCCTAGAGAAAAAAGAAGTTTTATTTGATTTATAAAACATAACACAAACAAATCAACTATGTGCATAGATTTGAGAAAAATTTGGAAAAACTGTCATACTAAAATTTCACTGACAGTCAAGCTCTCCTGCAAAGCCTTTTTCCAGTGTAATTTTAGATGTTTAAGAAAAAAAATTCATTATTATTATTTTAATTATATGTATCTTATTTTAAGTTAAACGTTGAAAAAAAAACTGAATTTATATGAAAGGAAGTTCATATATTAAAAAATCGAATGAAGCGTAAAGTTCGGAGATTGAATAAATACTTCTTATGGAGCATTATTTTGAACCTAAAATTTTCTGTTTAATACCAGTTACTGATAGAATGTATGAAATTTATCACATATTGATAAACAAAAGAAGAAGAATGAGTTGTTTGCAAGATGTTAGAGTATATCGAACACCAAACTGTGATAGTGATCACCATATTACTGCCATAAAAATGAAATATGAAATTGGTAAAATAGAAAAATCGGCAGCGATAGAAGAAAAAGGTGGGATGTGGAAAAATTGAAAAATGAACCCAAAAGAAAACAAAAGGAAATTTAAAAACCCCTCTATAGAAGACGTATCCGGAGAAGTGAGTTTTGAAGAAATGTTTCTAAGAATGATTTAATTTGGGCTGAAGAATGTTTGGGAGTTTAAAGGGTTCACGCTGGGCGAAAGAGGTTTGATTAAGAATGTGAAGATGCAATAAAAGAAAAGAACGAGATTAAAATAAAAGAAAAACGAGATTGGCACATGATAAGTACAAGCAAAAAAGAAAGATAACAAATCAAATACGTAAAAGAAAAAAGAGCTCCAACCTACAATAACAAATGTAAAAGATAAAAATGGAACCCCTCGTACAGAGGAGCAAGAAATAGTAAGTGAGTGGAAAAAATATTTTAGGGAGTTGTATAATATCGATAATGATCAATATATTTAGTAGGGTTAGAAATTTTTAGAAGTTTAAAAGAAGTTTAGAAGAAGCAGAAGTTTAAATACAACCTACAATAACAAATGTAAAAGATAAAAATGGAACCCCTCGTACAGAGGAGCAAGAAATAGTAAGTGAGTGGAAAAAATATTTTAGGGAGTTGTATAATATCGATAATGATCAATATATTTAGTAGGGTTAGAAATTTTTAGATGTTTAAAAGAAGTTTAGAAGAAGCAGAAGTTTAAATACCTGAATGGCGAAACAGTAAGTGCAATTTTAAAACTAAAAGAATACAAAGCAAGTGGAGTAGATACAATAGCGGCAAGAAATGATCAAAGCAGGAGGTGAAAATTTCTTTTTAAAAATTCACTGCCTCATTGTAAAAATTTGCCAACGTAACCAAATGCCAGAAGAATAGCGAAATGGTATAATTATACCCATGCACAAAAAGGGTAGTAAATTGGACTGACAAAACTAGCTACTATAACTGCTAGAAGACTAAAAGTTTACTCAAAAAGAATCTTAACCAATTGTCAGGTCCTTATTATGATCGGCGAAGCGAATGAAATTTTTGGCGAATATGAACTTTTTGGTATTATGATTAGCGAATGAGCTGTCAAATTTGTCGAATGAAAATTCTGTGTGACAAGCTTGGCAAATGAAACCAAAAATCAAATGAATACATGAATGTTTTTTTTATGGGATATTATAGCATTTATAGTGATATAATGTAAAAATTTAAACTATCTGTAAAGTAATTTTATGAAATTCTACAAATTATTGCAAAAAATATTGATTGTTTAATATTAATTTAAGCGTAAAAATGAGCCAAAAACAATTCGAGCATTTAAATAAATTAATAGACAACAACCCCGTAATTTTTAAAGAATAGAAATATTCAATTGCTTTTGCAAAGAAGCAAAAACAATGTACATATGTGTAGTGTTGACCTTATTATTTCTGGTAGGTTTTCTGATGTCTTGAAATAGCCACATTTTGAATCTGGCGAATGAAAGCATTCGCTGATCATAATTTAAAATATCATTCAATTCGCCTAATCCATTCGACACGCCTAGCGATTCGCTTCGCCGATCATAATAAGGCTATAAATGTGGTTTTAGAGAACAAAAATCAACTATTCACCAAACCTCTTACGTAAGACAAAATATTGAAAAATGTGCAGAATACAACATCAATCTACACATGGTTTTTATAGATTTCAAACAAGCGTTTGACTCAATCAATAGAAACAGCGAAAGTTATAAAGTACAGACGCCTTTGAAATTAAGTTGGGAGTTAAACAAGAGCATGAAACTTCTTCAATAATCTGATGTTGCATCCTTCAATAAAACAATTAAATAATGGTGGCCTTGTATTTACATGTTCCTCTAAAATATATGCCTACGCAGATTATATAGTTGTGATGTCTAGAAATAAAAGAGATCTCTAATTGAAGTTTTCGCAGAACTTGTAGAGGACGTTGCAATTGTGGGTTTGAAGATTAACGAAGAAAAAACCAAATATATGTTATTGTCAGGATCCCAACTACGAAGAAGTGTCCAAAGTATAAGAATAATGGAATACAACTTTGAAATAGCTAAAAATTTTACATACCATGGTGCGATGATAAGTGCTAGAAATGACATTCAATACATAAAGGCATAAAACAAAAGATTTTAACAACTAACGGGGCTTACTACTCCAAGCCACATTTATTTAAATCCAAAATTAAATCACTATCGTGCAAAATACAACTATATAAAGCAACACTAAGCCCTATTTTAAGTTATAGTGCTTAAACGTGGTCTTTGACAAAATATGATATAAATATTCTGAGAACCTTTGAAGAAAGACATTGCGCAAAATTTTTGGACCAAGATTGAACACATATAATGTTATGAGATAACGTCAAATCAAGAACTAATGGGCCTTGTAAAAAATGAGAATATAGTAACATTCACAAAATCTCAAAGATTAAGATGGCTAGGACATTTCAATCGAATGGATGAATCATGAATTCAAAGAAAAAAGAATTTCCGAAGCAAGATCACTTTTTCAAAGAAGCATTGCAAGATCAAGATTGGGATGAAAAGCCGACGTTAAAAAGGACTTGCGTAAAATGAATATAACAAGTTAGCGGCACAACGAACCGGGAGGGGTGGAGGAGAATTGTGAATCAAGCTAAGGTTCATACCGAATCTTTTTTATCCGAAAAGAAGAAAATTAGCTTTGATAAAGTGCGTATGTAGCGCACTTTATCAAAGCAAAAAAAAAATAAAAAAAAATATTCTTTATTTCGAATAAAAGGAAGTTTTCTTTTCATACCAATAAAAAAAAAGTTTGTACGGGGCTGTAGGGCTACTGATGATTATGAATGCTTCAACAGAAACTTTTCTTGATGTACATGACACTAATATAACCTGCGGTTACAATTACTCTTTGTCTTTTTATAATAAATTTAACTTTATTTTGGGAGAAATTCGTAATTTTCTAAATACCTTAGCTTTAAGTTTAGCTTGCTCTGGATCTTCTATTTTAGATCTAGATTTTGCAGCTCGAAATAACATTTCCCTTTCCTGCTCCTCATGTCGCTTTTGCTCCGCTTTATCAAGCTCTTCCAAGAATTTTATTTGACCTCTAATATCTTTCGTAACTTCGTATCTAGAATCAATCTGTAAAGTTAAATAACACGTAGGTACCCATTAAAAACCATAGAATAGAATACAGATAGTATAAAAAATCAAAGTTCCCTACTTTTAATATATCAATTCTATGCTCCGCAATCACAGCAAGCTTTTCGACAATATTTTTCAATCTTTCTTGACATGCATGTGATATTAAAACAGATACTTCCTGACTTGGATCTTCCAAGCCTTTTTCAGTGACTAAATTTTTTATCTTGCTTTGTAAGGCAGGTAAATGCAAAAAAACTTCATCCTTACAAGATCTTATTTGAGTTCCGATATTTTCAGTTGACCCTAGAATTTTTTGTGATTCCTCTGCTAAATTCACACCTCCCATAGCTGCAACATCATTAATATCATCGTCACCGTACATCGAAGACGCCGTTGACATAGAGGGTTGTTGGAAGAATGATGTTGCAGATACAGATTTTTCTTCCAATAATTGTTTCTTCTTAGAAGTCGTTCTAGCAATTACTTGTGAGGAGTTTTGTGCTTTCACAGTTATAATTTTTGGCGTACTAGTTGGTGTTGTTATACTCGTCGTTATAGCAGTAGTAGTGTTGAGAACAGTACTACTGTTTGTATTATTCACCGAAGGTGTTGTAGCCGCAGATGGAAAACTAACAGGAGCAGGCGAAACTAGAATTGGAGCTGATACAACAGGCAGGGACGCCGGAGGTGCAGGTATTGTCGAGCAAATTGAGCTGTTATTATTTTGAATTGGAGTAAGTTGCTTAATTTGTGTCTGTCCTACTTTAACTTGAGGCATTGTTATTTGATTCAACCCCATCGTAGTTGACGTGTTAGTTGAAGTTTTTGCACGAACTGAAGTTGCAGGTCTAATTTGAACATTTCCTGGAACGCGAATTCCGCTTTGTGATCCCTTTACCGTCACAATGTTCTAAAAATATGATTTCACTTTTAAAATTATACCTTTTATTTTAAGGCAAATATATACCTGAGGCGCCTGAAAAACTTGATTTCTATTAACAGGTTGTAATGCAGGTGGTTGCTGTACGGCATGTGCTTCAATAGCACCAATTGATCTAATTTGTGTATTATTTAATCGTGGTCCACTTAGTGGTGTTGATAGGGGAGACTGAATTTTAACTCCTGAACTGATAGTTTGCTTTGTTATTGTTGTTTGACCTATAGGCCTGGGTGCAGTTTGAGTAACCATTCGTACTTGTGTTTGCCCTATTGTTGTTGCCTGCCCAATTGGGCGAATTTGAGCTTGTATTCGCTTTTAAATAAAATGTTCATACAATAATTAGTATGTAATTATAAATATATAAATAAGGAAGTACCGGAAATTGTTGTTGCAATGCACTTCCTGATGTTATTGAAACAACATGCTGCGGAGGAGGTTTAATACCATCAATCACTAATTCTCTCGTAAAAAGGGATTGTCTAAGAAGAGGTAAACTTTTCTAAAATAAAAAAAGTGAAGATACATTGACAAAATACAAATGTTTGATTTTTGATAAATTTTTAAGTTATTAAGTTTTGACCCTTAATTTCTCTTTGACGAATTTCAATACAAGAAAAAAAAATATTGTATAAATTATTACTAATTTTTATTATCAGACTTATTATATTTTTGAATAGCTAGTTTCGCATTCGGCACTAGCCCCTAATAAGAGACTAAACAAAAAAAGAAAAAAATTACAAACTTCTGAAATATTTATGTTTAGCTTGCATAAAAATCAAAGGTTTATAGTTTTATCTTGCAAAATAAATATTTCGAATAGCCAAAATATTTAACTTACTTTCAAAAAACCTATTAAGCATGGCTGCGGACTTGCATTAAGTAAACGTTCTAATCTATCACAAAAGTCTTCGGGTTCCACAATCGAGTCAATTAATTCCTGAATTAAGGTTCTAACACTTCTTTCAACTGGTTTCGGTTCTCTCGTCGACAATTCTATCAAATTTGCTAAAAATTTTCGACACTTTTCTTTGGTATTTCCTTGAAGGCTTTTTTGCTAAAATTTACGATAGCTATAATATAAAACATTTGGAACGTATTATAATATGTTTTTTACTTGAACAGATGATGTATTTATCTGCTGATTGATTCCGCTTCCAGCCGCCAAAGCATTTTGTTGGGTTTGTTGAACTTGAAGTGTTTGTGACTGATTCGATGTTTGAACATGTGGCTGTTGGTGTGAAGACTGTTGATGCAGCAACTGCGGTTGTGGTTGCTGTTGCACTTGCTGTGAAGAAATGGGTTGGTGCAATTGTATTTGCGACGACTGAGATGATTGTGCTTGAGTTTGCGGTTGCTGCTGATGCTGAGTTTGGTGGGATGCTGGCTGATTAAATTGTTGAGTTTGCAAAACTGAAGTCACAGGTACCACAGGAGCTACAGTGGGCTGATGATGTGAAGCGGTACTATTAACTTGATTTGCTAAAATTTGATTAGAATTCGAAGTCCCTGCTGAATTTACAACTATATTTGAAGGGGCTGATACGGACATGGACTAATTTTGTAAATAAGATAATGAAAAGCATTTTTGTTAATAAAATGATGAAATAGGTTTAAACTTATTTTCCATAAAAATTGACTTATATAATTTTAACGCAGTAACGAAAAATGAGAAATATGAGAAAAATTATAGAAACAGTAAATCAAAATGTAATTAAAATTAAAATATATTTCAATTTAATTATTCAAACAAAACATGCACAGCTTTTTATAATTAAGCAAATTATATAACCTTATAAAGTCGCGCCATATATTTTCCATTAAAAATGGTAAAATGCAAAATAATTAAAATAAATTTAAAAATTTAAGCCACCTTTTAAGAAAAAGTTATTTTTATACTTCAATTATATTACTTTGTTATAAGAAAAATTTATTTAATACTGAATTATTTAAATATTATTTTATATTTGGAAAATCATATAAGCATTTCCCTTATTCGATTTAAGGAAGTTGTAGAGAACAAAATTGAATTCCTTATTAAGTATACGTTTTATACTATTAAATGATTTCAAAGCTGTAATTTGGAATTTAAGTGAAATTTTCGTTGGATCGCCACAATTTGAAAGCAAAAAGTACAACAATTTTTTTTATAAAATACGTTGATCATAAACATGCAAAATAAAATAATAAACATGTGTCAACAATCTACATTTTTATACAGAAATAATCCAAAAACCAGGTTACAACGAGAAATAATATTTCAAAAATTTGCTTTTCAAAAATTTTACAGAAAATTACATTTTGTTTCTGTTTCACCTGATGTTGAGTAACAATCGTTTTGCGTAGAGCTAAAGATGATCCACTAAATCTACTTACAGCCGGTACAGTTTGCAAACGTATTGTTTGATTTCCAGTACTTGTTGACATTTGCTGGCCAATATTTGTTGTTGGTTGATTGGTAGGAGTAGCCGGACTAACACGAAGCAATTGGTATCCATTCTCAGTTTTAACGATTAAAGCTGGCCCACTCTGTTGAATAGTACTTAATGTAATCTGCAACAAAATAGTCCAATTTTTTTGTTGTTTTTATATTTTTTAAAAAATTTTCAAAGTACCGCTGGATTATTCGGGCGAGCTCCAACCATATGAGTGTTTCCTATTACAACACGCGGTAAAGGATTGCTGTTCACGCTTTTTTGTGGGTTTGTGTTTGGAGTATTAGCTCTCACACCCATTACAACACCGGCTGGCAGCATATTGCTTACGATACTAGCTTGATTACCCTACAATTTACCAAAAAATTTACCGGATTTATAAAATCATAGTACAAAATGAAGTTGAAAAATTTTTAATACACTAAATTACGTTACATGCATAGTTTTTTAGGCAAATAACAGAAACTTTCAAATATTGTCAAAAGTGCACAGAAGACAGCAAATAATGTACTTTCTTTGAATTCTCTACAAATATATTGATATTTCAAAAAATAAATAAAATCAACAAAACAAATGTCGCTAAAATTAAAAATAAGGCAGTAACTCAAAAAAAATTCGTACCCCACCTACATATTACAAAAATGCAAGTCAAATTCATTAGCTATACTCTTAGTAAATTAATTCATTGTTTCAAATAAAAATCTTTGAGTAAAATACGCTAAAAACATTTTTAATTGTTCAATGACAGCATATTTCCCATAAAATAATTACAAAAAATATTTAAATATACTTGAGATTAGAAAGATTAATATTTTATATCTACTGAAACAAAATAAAATACGTAAAATATATGAAGAAGTATTTAACGTTTGGTATAGCTAAAAATCAAATTATCAATAATAAACTGTCGAACTACTTGGAAAATAACAAGGTGATAACTTTAAAAATGCTTCTTTATACCGGCAATTACGTTTAGACAAAAAAAAGTTTAAATTAAGTTTTAAGTAAATATCAACAAAATACAAACATGATTAGAATCAACTACAGTTTTGTTTAAAACAAACAATAATTTTAACTACTTTGAATAAAATTAAAGAAATCTTTAAATTTTCCTAAAATACCTGATTAATAGCTTTTGTCATAGTAACTAATCCACCTGGTGCACTAGAGACAAGTCCAGCTGGAAGTGAAACTGTTTGATTTTTAATTACCAAAGTTTGTGTAGATCCGCCCATACTATGTGGGTGATTTTGATTTTGGCCGGCACCACTAGTTGATATAGTTTTAATAGTTGTCGATGTTGGAATAACACTAGCAGAAGAAGCAGGGTGCATTATCGAGTGGTGCCCTAATTGAGTAGGTTGTGTTGTTATACTTATAGTACCATTTGGCAATGATTGATTTGTGAAAGCTACACGATTAGTTGTACTTGTTTGATTGTTCATTGTAGCATTTAAATGTTGAAGTTGATTATTCGAATGGATTGTTGCTGGTGTTTCGGAAACGTTTGAATTACTACTCGCCGCTGGATACACTATTTTAATAGGCTCATTGCCCTTTCGCATATCTTTTGTTTTGCAAAAATATTTATTAGAATTCTTATAGATTTTTTTTTTTGTAGAATTTCTTTTTTTAAAAATATAATTTTCAAATATTTAGTGGTAAACCTTAAATAAAAAAAAACTCAATGAGACCTTTTAAATTACAAATAGTTAAAACAAAATATTAGAAATATTTCACAAATAAAATCTTTTCTCCATAGAATTTTACTCAGCCAAAATTAATTTATATAGATTGAATGTTCCACAGTATTTATTTAAATTTTTCACAGTACAATATTTGATAAATTAACAATTTTAACTGGGCTAAAATAAAGTACAAATTGTTACGGTTGAAAGTTATATTTTTCGAATAATTTTGTATGGTTGTTTGTTTACTACATTTATTCTATTGTTTTTAAAATCATTTCTGACAGACTGACCAATTCATTAAGAAAAACTGGATATTAAAACAAGAAGTATGGTCTTATTTGAAAAGTATTAGAGAATAACAAACAAAATCAAAAACAATTTTAGCTTACAGTTCCAAGTTTGGTTTTCTTTGAAAATACCTGTTGCAAATATGGATTCATTTACTTTCTCAATTTATCATATTTCAATATATTTAATGATTTTTCTCAATTTATTTTGCAGGCAGTTTTTTTGATGTAGTGTATTAGTTTGCGTATTTTGAATGTTTTCGATATCTCTTATAAATTTGAACCCTTCAGATCAATGTTTTAAACAAATCAAAGAACAATTTTGTTCTCGCACATTTGTATATCTAAGTATAAGTATCATACTTATAGAATATAATATCTGACGTTGAAGCACTTGAGCACTTTTGATGTAATAATACCAATTTAAATATAAGTTTTTGACACAGTAACTTTTACCCATTAATTTACTTTTTCAATTGGAATATTTCTTTGTGTAACAATATTTTACTTACAACTATTTGAGTTTGGCTTTAATGTCAAAGTAGCCATTTTTTTTAATACAAATAATCAACTTGCTATATGAACGAAATATTAAAATTCACTTTCTTCATTATCATACATATTATAGTAAAGAGAAAAATATGGTATACTAAATTTTATGTCACTAATTTCTGTAATAGATTTTAAATGACATTTTGACGTATAGTATAAGTGCAGATATTTGAAATATTTAATTCAACTTTTTTGAAAATCAATTTAGAAAAAATTTTATTTATATACTTTCTGATTTTTATTTTTTTTAAATCTTATCTCTATTCCACTTCACTTATTAATATCTAATTTTGAGTAGACCATTTTATTTTATTAATACACAAAGGGAATGGCATGTTTTCAATAAATGGCTACTTTCCACTTATACATATTTTTGATATTTCCTTTTCTTACTATACATAATAGAAATAAAATAACACACCGCTGCTATACCGATTAACAATATTTTAAAATTTTAATGCTTCTACATTAAATAGGCACTTTAGGTGTAAAATCACGGCTTAAGTTTATGGAAATGGCTTGGCATTTTTTGTTTACAAAAAACAAAACAATTTCTTTAATATTTACTGCAATAACTACACTTTATTAAATTTATTCCCAATTTAAAAATTCATGTCTTCAGACCTTTAAAAAAACTTTAAATCAAAATGTGAGTTAGCGTTGGTTGTCAGTGATTGGTCTAAAAAAACTAATAGCATACTGTAAATTGACAAGCCACTATTTCCTTTTTGGTATAATATTGTTGTACTAGATTAATTATATAAAGTACGCTCCATTTTTTTTATTTAAGTCCTACATATTAAATAAACAGGAAGGAAAAAAGAAAACGCAAAAAGTATTAAACGGAAAATCTCTATAAGAATAGAATAATCACTACTTTTTTATATAGGGATGTATAAATGTGCGAAATAATAATAAAACGATTTTCTTAGAATATTTTGAACAAGAGCAAAAATTATAAACAAATTTTACTGGACCAAACTGGACTCGAATTAGTGATTGGGATTTTTCACTTTCCTCTCGTAAACTCAGTCCAACATTGACAGGATATTTATTTATTGAAACCAAAGTATATCTAATTTATAAGCAAAGTATATCTATTAATAAGTAGCTCGACTCGTTCCATTCCGTTATTTTTTGTTTGCTTGCCACTTCCAAAATCTTAGTATTCCATTTTTCTTTAGAAATACATGGTAATAAGAGTTGTATGAGGCAAGAAAGAAAAAAAATATTGTAAACAAACGAGTGTATCAAAAACATTGAGCTGAAATAAAATTAAATTAAGTTAGGTAAAAATTTTATTATTTTTATTTTGATATCTTAATTAATAAAAGTTAAAACATTCGAATGTATGAAAGTCATAGTTATAAATTTAAAATTTCATACTTTGTTATAGGTACATACCTATTCAAGGTAGATATGATGTAGTAATATGTATGTAGCCCGTTTATATGGCTGCTTCAAGCTTATTATTGTCTATATTAATGTTACTTGATCTGAAGCCGGCTTCACTCAAGTCGCTTATTTGTACTAAACAAACAAAATTTGTATGTGTATGTACATTTTTAAAACAAAATTGATATAAAAATAAAAAATTCATAATTTATATTACAATAAATGTAATGACAATTACTAATTACAAATTTTAAGTTTTTTGTTAATATTATTTGTCTTTTTCAAATTATATACATATAATACGTATATTATAATTTTTTTTTATTTTAATAGTCAAATTTTGTTTTTTATCGCTTCTCTTTAATATGGATACAGAATTTCTGCCATCTTGTACTGGAATAAGTTACAGAAATAAAATTCCCGCTTTTAAAATTCTTAATATTTTTTCCTACACTTTATATACGAAAAAATAAATAACTCCCGCTTTTAAAAATACATTATAAAAAAACAGGTAGATATCAGTTGCGCAATTTTCCCTTCTCCCAAAAATTCTTATGTGTATAAAAATGAAAATTTATTTATTTATTTATTTATTTATCAATTAATTTCAGACAATTTATAAAACTTGTATATAAGAAATTAAAAACTACAAACTAATCTTACACTAATTTTTATACTAATCCAAAATCTTTTTTAATTTAATATGCATAGTGTTAAATTTATTACATTATATTTTTATATTCTATTATTATATTTTGTTGGATATACATATGTACATTAATTTCTAAAATTTTTTAAATGCTTTTTAAGCTTATTTTTAAATTCATTTAATTTTTTACAATTTTTTATTTCATCTGGCAAGGTGTTGTACATCCTTATTGCACTGCATTTCAATCCATTTAATTTCATAGTTGACGTCGCTTTAGGAACTATTAGATGCCCTCTATTTCTAGTGTTATAGTCATGTTGGGATTGATAATGTTGATTTGATTTGCTTGTTCATGATCTTGTATACATATTTGCACTTCTCTAGGTATATGAGTTGATTTATATCTAGCTCATTTGTTCTCATGTATAATTCCTTAGTATTGGGTTAAAATTATATAATGTTTTTAAAGTTCTGTGCATAACAGTACGCATTTGACTGACATGAAATTTGGTACAATGACTCCAGCTGCATATGTTATAGCGTATTTTTGACCGTTATATATTAATTAAGCTGCTTTAACAGGGACACCACCTGCCCTTTTTATAGCCATAGTGATTGGAATAATACTTTTTTTTTAATTGTTTCACATGCTTATTCCACTTCAAATGTTCATCTATAGAGGTGCCAAGGTATTTTATATACTTCACTCTTTGAATTGCAACATCTCCAGCTTTTATTGTAATAACGTGGTATTTTTTTTTCGGTTTTTTAAATACCATATCCTGCCACATAAATATCTTCATCTAAAGCATCGTAAACATGATCTAATGTTACCGAAACAGCAGAATCAGTACCACTTCTTTCTATGAAACCATATTAATTTTCATCAAAGCCAATTGTCGTTTCTACAAAATTTCGGATTCGCGTATTGATTGCTTTTTCATATACTTTACTTATTGCATTTAGTATTGATATTGGTCTATAGTTTCCACAGTCCGACTTTTGTCCACCTTTGTGTATAGGTACAATTACAGTCTTTTTCAAACCTTTAGGATAAGTTCCATTAGTGGTTTCTTAATAATATGTATTAGTTACTGGATATTATTAACCTTTATTCCATCCGACCCTGGTTCAGCATGACTATTTAAAATTGTAACAATTTCATTTTCTGTTACTGGTACTAAAAATACAGACTTTTGATTTATTGTATTACGTACAGTATCTGGAGCATTATTAGTGCTGTTATTATTTATAATCATTTCACCAATTTCATTGAAATATTTGTTTAAAAGGGTTGCAGTTTCTATGTCGGAATTAGTTACATCACCATTTGGCTTAATTAAGTTACAAATGCTGCCGTTTTTTTCATCACTGTTATTTTTTATTGTCTAATTTATAACCTTCCATAGTTTGCTGCTGTCATTCCCAGTTTTTTCAATGCAATTGTTTATATGATTTTTCTTTGCTTCAACAATGAGTTTACTCACTTTCTTCTTGATTTTCACATACTATCCTTTTTATTGAATTGCTGGAGTCTTTTTTATGTTCTGTGTATAAAGAGCGTCTAATCTTTCACTGTTTGATGATTGCTGGAGTAATCCATCTATTGCTTCTTGATCTCATTATATGTGTTGTAGCACTATTTTCTTTCGCCTTTTGTATAATAGCAATTAAATTCAACTTCCATGATACTTTTAGCTGCCAGCCCAATACGCACTATTTCACACATTTTAACATAGTTCGTTCTAATATATGAGAGCCTTTTGTAAGGCTTTAGTTCCTGCTTTTTTAATTCTAAACTTACAAGAGCTGTTTCATGGTCGGATATGTTATTACCTTCAATCTTATATGTAATTTGATGCTGCTCATTTACGAGTATATTTGACATAATATGATCAATTAATGTGTTGGATACTGTTTGCCGTATGCTATGTTTTCTGTTTATAAAAATGTTTTCTATGCGTAAAAATTTTGGATATTATAGGTGTTCATTTCGTTTTCAAATATCCAAACTTCTGTTAGGATAACAATATCTACATTTGCATAACTTTGTATTAACGCCTCAAGTTTCAGGATTTTCTGTCTAATACTACATATATTTAAGTATAGAATATTAAGGTTGCCTGTTTGATTCACATTTTTAGGTGTCAACATTATGAAATACTTATCATATAGTTTTGCCAATTCACTCGTACTTTCTGGAGGTAGTCTCTGTATTTATTATCGATGTGGCGTCTATACATTTTCAGATCTTGTATGACTTTTTCCTCTTTGACTCCTACTGTCTCATGATATTTATAATATATTTTACACAGGTCCTGCGGGTCAATGGTAAGCCTTCTTGATCGATAAGTACTTTGATGCTGGTTTGTGTCATACCATCATAACAAATATCGTCTTGATCATGGAAATATGCAAGGAATATTCGAACGTTGTTATATATCCTATGGTCTCTAAGCCGTGAGAGTACATACATACTATCATCATTTTCAGTTGTTCTTTTTGTTAATTTTACAATTGGTGGAGACATTGGATCAAAACACTTCGTACTTGGTTTTTCGTTGAATTTTTCGACATCTACATATGGATTTGATATTTCTCCTTTAACCCAGTTATTGTAATTTCTATCATTATTATTGTTGTTACTATTATTGCTATTATTATTATTGCTATTATTATTATTATTATTATTATTATTATTATTATTATTATTGTTATTGTTATCACCATTATTATTGTTATTAAAATCTTCATTGGCATTATTATTATTTTTATTATTATTTTTATCATGATTCTGATCATTATTATTATCATTATTCTATTATTGTTATTAATATTGTTAATATTTTTATTATTATTAGTTTTATTATTATTTTCAATAGAACTACTTTTATTGGAATTGATGGTGGTCTTCTTTTCGGTATTATTTTTATTATTATTTTTTAGCACTTTTCCAGAAAAATTTTGAAAAGGTGCTTATTAGTTTCACTCTGTCCGTCCGTCCGTCTGTCTGTCCGTGTGTCTGTTTACAAATTACTTATCCCCCCCCCTCTAAAAGTTATACCCCCCCAAAACCTTAAAAACGGCCTTTTTTAACTATTTGTTGCAATGAAACTATAAGCATTTTTGAAATTTTTCAAACGCAGAAAGGGAGTGCGTTGCTTCCCCTAGCGCAGTATACTATAGTTAACCTTTAGAAAAACAAAATAGCCGTTTAAATTTACCGTTATCTAAAGTCCTTTTTTTCCAAATTTTTGATTTCGTTTTTTTCTTTTAAACCCAAGCCTGTAGAAGCTTGAAATTAGGGGCTTTTAGACATTAACAAATAGTTCATTTCGTTAGAAGAAATTTTTTTCCATTTCCACCCCTTCTCAAGTTATCGTCTCTTGAAATTTGTAAAATTTGAATTTTTGACACCTTATATATCTGAAACCGCAAGCTTAAGCTTTTTCATTTTCTATAAACACAGAAAGCTAACGGTAAATTCCATATAATTAAAAAATATAATTATTTTTCTTAACTCACACAATTAACCCTTAAAATCGAGCATTATGTTAACCCCACTTTATATTAATTTTTGCTTTAT